TTTCTCAGGTGATTTTGCCAGATTCCACCAGTTTTTGAGAGCGTTCGATGGACGAGTCGCTAGCGTGGTCGAGGATGAGGAAGAGAAACTTCGCTATTTGGAGCAGTTTACGTCTGGTACACCAAGAGACATCGTACGGGGATGCATGTCCATGAAGACCGGTGGCTATGAGGAAGCGAAGAGGCTATTGATGAAGAGGTATGGCAACCCTGACAGGATGGCTGAGTCATTCATCGACCGTCTGGTGCACTGGCCACTTGTGAAGGGCGATGATGTCGCTGGACTCGACAAGCTCGCGGTGGAGATGAGAGCCTGTCACAACGCGGTGGACAGCCTGATGGGAGCCAGCCATGAGCTGAACCATCCAAAGACAATGAAGAAGATTTTGGAGAAGCTGCCCTTCGCAATTCAAGAAAAATGGCGGAGAGAAGTTGACCGTCTGGCAGAAAGAGATGGAAGGTCTGCACTGTTCTCTGATCTGGTCAGCTTGATTGAAGTAGAAGCCAGAATCGCTTCAAACGCTGCCTTCGGCCGTCAAGTCTTTCTCAAGAAAGACCTATCAAGAGCCGAAAAGTCTCAGCAGACCAAAGTCAAGTGCAATTACGTCAAAACCAAAGACGCTGAAACCGAAAAGAAGATATGTGTATTGTGCAAGAACGAGCACGACTTGTCTGCGTGCCCATTTTTTTGCAGAGAAACCATTGGTGGAAAGAGAGAAGCTTGTTCGTCAGCACGCACTCTGCTTCGGATGTCTGGAGGCGGGTCACAGGTCCAGATGGTGTAAGTCCCGTCTGACATGCATGGTGTGCGGGAAGGGCCACCCCTCTGTGCTCCATAGATACCAGACGGCGACGGTCAGCAACGACAGCCCGCCGATGACTCAGCAGGCTTCGCACTTCGCAGGCAGAAGTAAACGTCCTCTCTTCTAGAAAAGCAGGACATTCGGGTGTGAAGATGCCGATCGTTCCGGTGAAAGTGAAGTACCAAGGTGGGACTACTGCAGGCCCATGTCGTCCCCTATCTCCGTGTGTGTCCACTAACACGAATGACGTCACGCATGTGGGCGGAGCTATGGGCGGAGCCTAACGCACGCGGCAGTCCAAGCCGCCATATTTGAATTTATATTTTAATAGAATCTTGCCGATATTTTGGGTGAGGTCAATTTATATGGATAGCTTGGTGACAGTTAAGCTTTACGAATAATAATTTTTTATGGATGTGAGTATATTCAGCTTGGAATTGCAATTAAAGTTCCGCACCGCATAGATTCGAACTCGGGACCTTTGGAATACTGCGCGGGCACGCTAACCACTACACTACCGCGACCGCGCGGCGGCCGGCGGCAGGGAGGCTGCGGAGACATGGGGGACATTTTACGCTTTTGTGAAAAAAGCAAAAGATTTAGCGAAAAACACGTAAAAGATAACTTGCAGAAAATTGTCTGCTCTTTCAGATAAGATACTTAGGTTTGATATATCTTGTGCAGACTTCATTCTACAGTGCTTCGAAAATCGCTCATTTACATGGGGATTGAACGGGGCTTCGAGACTTGACTCCAAATGACGTCACGAGCTGACGTCACGAAAAGGTAGAATCGCCGGACGACCCTACCTGGTATATAGGGCCTTGGACTACTGTACAGACTTACGCCCTTATCGACAGCGGTAGCTCGTCCACCTTCTGCAGTCAGTTGTTGTTGGACAAGCTGGGGGTGCCCACCTCGGCGAAGACCAAACTCTCCGTCATCACCATGGCCAGGGACCCGCTCAACGTCTGGACGGCTACCGTTGAGGGCTTATCGGTATGTGGCATCGACGAAAGTGACCCCGTTGACTTACCTGAAGTGTTCTCGTTGGGAAGCATCCCAGCCAGCCGGGAGGAGGTCTGTAGAGTTGACGATCTCTCCGACTGGCCGCACTTGCAGGAAGTCGTCCCGCCTGACATAGACGCTGAAGTAGGACTCTTGATTGGCGTAAACGTCCCCGCTGCTCTGGAGCCTGTCGACTTCATCAAGAGTCGTGACGGCGGCCCTTTCGCAGTAAAGACCAGACTTGGATGGGTGGTGCAAGGTCGAGTTCGACACTTGAAACCGACGCAGCCAAAGAGCACCACGAATCGCATCAAAGTGGAGCCCCAGCAGCTTCATTTGGACGGGAGCCTGGCTACTGGAGAACGACACTTTCCTGTTGAAGATCCTCGATGGCGAAGCGGTGACACAGTTCAGCCGCCAGAAGTACGCCTGAGGAACGTTCTCCCCTTCGGCGACAGGTCCTCACTCGGAGTTGCTGACTGTGCTCTGGGGCTAGCTGCGGAAGCCAGTGGTGACAGAAATTCGTGGCTGAAGCCAGATGAATCATTGAAGGCTGACGATGCTGTTGTGATCGCTGACAAGGATCCAGCGACGACTGGGTCGCGTGATAGAAACGCGTGCTGGCCAGGACGGACTGGTGAGAAGTGTTAAGGTTAGAACAAGGGGCCGGTAGATGCGGCTCCCAGTCGTGAAGCTAATGGCATTGCACTAGGCACCAGCTGAGCGAGCTCGCTGTGCAATATGCCAGTTCGATTGAGACAATCCCTGTGGTGCGAGGCACTTGTTGATTTGGGGAAATGCAAACGTACGCACTGCCTCTCTCATGTTCTCCTCGTGTTCGCTTCTTGAAGTTCGGCCTTGAAGACCGAACGGGGAGGGTGAAGCGGCGCCGAGGCGCCGAAGATGCGCACGACTCCGGGGTGCAAGCGCCGTCGGTGTCACAAGCATGTGCATTTTGCGTTTATTGTGCCATTTAACAGAAAGGTGTTTTTGTTGTTCAGCTAAAATGGGCAAAAAGTTGTTTTCATTAAGTTCGCATTATCTATTGTAATTTTAGCTTTATTTCACTAAAACGTTGTCTAAGCGAGAAACGTAAATATGTCCGTTTTTGGCCGCTACATTGTTTAGCGGTATCTCCACGTCCTGCCTGCGCTGTCATTTGCGATACAGTCGGTAAGGACTTGTTTTTATTTATTAAATTCGTTGACGTGCATTCATGCTGTATCATTGCATTGACCGACTCTTGTTTGATTTACTCTCGGTCTGTTTTATTTGTCGGACATTTCATTTATATCTTTTCGTAACGATTGTCTGGTCTTTTCCAGAAACCATTGCATTGCCTTGCATTGCATTGCCACATCGCATTACAAGAGAATATAAATTGGCATCACGAACAGGCAGCGATGCGTTTAAGACGACGCGAGGAGCGCAGGCGGGAACAGTAGCCTCCTGCCGCGAAACAGGGCTTAGGTGTTGCGACTCTGGCCGTGTATGAAACGTGGACTGTATTTGGACAAAACCTAAGATTGGATAATTAAGTTCCAGCCTACTAACTATTCCAAGAATCAAGTAAAGGACCGCCATATATTGCGATTGCAAACACAATTACATTCTACCCGTGCAAAACCACCGTCAAATGACAACCGTCGGAGTGAAAACAGCACTGGGCTGATCTTACCGGTACCCGATCCGCTATAAACACCACACGGGCTCAAATTTGGGGTCGACACTGAGTTGCACCGCGCTGCCAGCGCCTGCCGACTAGAGATCTGCACGGCTGCAATTTTCCACAGCCTGGCCGCCCCACAGCCGTGGCTCCACAGCCATGGCCGTCCACAGCTGTGGAAAACTGTGGACAGCCGGCCGGCAGCCGGCCGTGGGCAATTTTTCATGAAAATCAACTAAACTAAACATATGCGCCAATACAGTTACTTTCAAGTAAAATCTAAAAGTTAACACCTTTCCTGTCAAACACTTTGGAAAAGACATCAGCAGAATCATTGCTTCAAAGACAGGCATTAGCTGAAAGATCAAAAATCATTGATGATAAATGGTAGCGCACAGACTAAGCGCAAACTGTGATTGAAAATGGATCACCAAGCCCAAGGAAGATATTTGTTAATACTTTGAATTCACTCATTCAAATAAAAATAATCAAGTGATATTATATTGTTGCCAACCCAAACCCTGATTATTTTTGTGGCATATTTTGATTTGCAGCACTGTGCAAACTACAAACTGCACACTTGCTGCAAGCAAACTCAATGTAAGTGCTGTCTAACGTTCCACTGTTTTCAAATTACTTTGAATGTAGAATGCAATGATGATATAGAATATAGGTGGTTTGTTCGGGGTTTCGCCTTTACATCGGCACCATTTGACCATCACTATCACGATTTGGTGATCAACATGATTACTCACAAAGTTGATGTAATGGTGCTGCTTTGGTGGTCGTTATATCTCACCTCATGACTCCTGGATTATGTTACTGGTGGGCTTCATACTTGATGTACATATATTGCACAAAATAAACGTCTTGATTATGCAAAGCAGTAAAGGTACCATTACAACCTCACTAAATGTAAATTCTATCTAATTTTGGATTAGGGCTTGTATATTTGAGGCGCATGGCGCGCATCAGCGCACCAGAACCGTCGAAATTTGGAAGCAAATAGGATATGGAAGCCAATGAAGGAAAAACTTCCGAACGAAGGCGCGTCTATATCATACATAACATGCAGTAGTCCAAATGCACTTGTTTCCACAGATTACCTATTGTTGGCTGTGGCTATCACCATGATTTGGGGCCCTGGGCCTGTTGCGACTTTTGACAATAGGACTTGTTAAAAAATATTTCCCTTTCCTTCTATCATGCAATAGAACAATGCAAAGTTAAACAATTAACAAAGTGTATTATCAACTCTAGGAAGTGGCAGAGCATTGGGCAAGTTCGAGCACATACTCGCTAGTCACTAGGCAACTCCATATGCTATGAAAGCACAACGTTGTGTAGCACTCAGTAGTGCCCTTTACCCGTAATGGCCTGAGATTTCTAGATTAAACAATAGACACGATAGCCGGCATAAGACATATCTAACAGTTATCAGGTACGAAATCATTTAAAATCACGTAAAAACCCGAGGGTGCACAACCGCGAAACGACTCAGAGTTCAAAATCACAGTTGTGTCACGTCGATCCGGTACTCTACAACGTTGAAACTGGGTCTGCACTCTGCTCTGCTTCCAGCAGCGGCTCAGGTTTGGCTCTGTCGGGAAGGGAAAGAGAAATGTTATTCACATGCATCAATGTAAAGCCATGGCCTTGTTCCAACTTCCACGTTCGCTACCAGCACGCGTGTCAAAATGGGTTTCCATGGAGACATCAACAAACTCATATATCCAGCATTACCCGCGAAATGCACTGGCAGCGTGCTGCTATCGGCCGTGAAACAGGGCCCATGTGTCAGAAACGTCCTATGCTGAAGCATCCTCGTCACGGCCTTCAGCACGTCACACATATCATTTCTATCAGAGTAGGATACTACAGTACTAACTACCAAGTTATGATAACTCACAGCGGCCACACACAGTGACCGGTGAAAAACTGCTTTCAGACTAAGAGCTATCACTCTCAAACTACCTCACGTTTCACGTCGGTGCACACTGCACACCATGGAGGAAGAGGATATCATCCACGGATGACGGTAGCAGCCTCGTCCTCCTGTCCTCCACCACGCGTCCGGCGACAGAGAAGGCTCTCTCTGACGGTGTGCTAGACGCTGGCACTGCAAAGCCGGGCTTTTGTCACAATGTTGAATAAACCAGCATTTGTTACAAGATAACTTGATGCTTATAATCACTTTCAGTAGTTTATGCTAGAAGCCACCGAAGCACTCAGACCGCAGGATCTCATTGCCTCGGCACCAGCACTTAAAAAGCCACGGTCAATAGCACAGTGCACACAATACACATCAAATGATGAAAAGTGGAAACGCAGACTAACTACAAACATTACTGAGTCCGTTCCATAACTACCTACCAGCCAGGAGACGCCTTGCGACGCGGCACAGCCGCGGGAACTGGGCTTTCGTGGTCGGTGACGCCCAGTACGCCAGGATGGTGGTGAGGTGGCTGAGTGCGGTCCTGGCTCGCGGAGGTAGCTCTCGACCTCCGTCCGAGCCGACCGGTCGCCTGACGTCACATCATGACTGGCAGACTGCGGCTCGGCGAAGCAGAAGAAGCTGTGCTGCAGAACGGTAACGGCAGCGACCGTCAGTGGGTATAATGCGCATGGGGCCGTGCATTCACGTAAGAGCTACGGTAACTGGTTTAAGGCATAAGGCCACAAGCCGCATGGGGCACACAACGTGAAACACGCAACAGCCAATAAGTGCATAATGCTATTTCAAACCCATTATTTTCCCTACAAAGTACAGCATTCAATCATGTGTTCATTTGAACTACAAAGTTTAGTTTCAAGTACGAGAATTAAGCGGAAATCAACCTGTGCACTTACTGCCGAGCTGGTGCTGGCCTGGGTGCGGTTGGACGTCGATGGCTCGAGCACAGGCTGAGGCTCGTCCTCATCAGACGAGATTGTCGCACACGCTGGCTCCGCCTCCTGATCCGCTGCTGCGGCTGTGAGGTCCTTCCTTCCTTCCTAGCCAGCTTAGGCCGGGTCCCGCGGGGCCCGGCCCGTCTCCACCAGGAAGTCTGCGATGAGGTCAGCTTCGGTGGAGAATATCTCCCCCAGCGTCGGCAGGGGGCCCCACCGGCGGGTCCGAGGCCCCTGGTGTGCGGGGCAGTCCATCAGCAGGTGCGGGACCGAGTCCGGCTCGCCGCAGTCGACGCACGCGTCGGACTCAGCCAGCCCGAGTCGGTGCCGGGTGTCTCCTGTCAGGGGCGAACATCCCACCCGGAGCTGCGCCACGGTCACCGACGCTCGGCGGTCCAGTCTGTCGTGCCCGGGCGTCGGGTCGGGGTGCGGGTGGCTGCGTCTGACGCGCGCATCACACATCGCCCGCGCCCGGCGGGCCACCGCGGCTCTCGCCGACCACAGGTCCACGGGGATCTGGTCCTGTCTGCGCGAGCTCCCGATCGCTGCCAGACGGTCCGCCTCCTCGTTCTCCGGCAGGCCCGCGTGGCCGGGCACCCACTGCAAGTGGAGCCTGTGGCCTGAACGAGTGATGGTGTCTAGCAGGTCCCTGATCTCCGCTACCAGAGCCGACTGGGAGTCCGCCGTGTCTTGTAGCGACTGGATGGCTGCGCGCGAGTCGCAGCAGAGGAGGAGCATACTCGGCCGGTCAGGCAGGTCGCCCGCGGCCTCGGCCAGCGCCTCGCGGATGGCCACGAGTTCGGCCCGGGTGCTGCTGCACACCTTCCCGGCCGCTACCGTTAGCTGAACGGTGCGGGACTCCTGGTGGAAGATCAGCAGGGCTCCCCCTCCGCCGTCGTGCGTGCCGCCCCCAGCCGAACCGTCGGTCCAGATGGACACGTCGGGCTGCGGGAGAGACGCCAGCGTCGTCTCCGCTGCAGCTCTTCTCGCTTCCGGTGGGTCTGTGCGCGAGGTGGGCACCGTCAGAGAGGTCGATGTAGTCAGGCTTGTGGTGTCCGGTAGGACAGGCGGTGTCAGGGCCAGCGGCTCCGCTGGGAGCTCCGCTATGCCCGCCTCGCTCGCCATCCAGGCAGCAACTCGCCGCACGCAGGGTTTTGCAGCCAGCACGACGTCCTCATCGCACGACAGGGGAGGGCCGGGGTTTGTGCCGGCTTGCTGTACCTCTCGAATCCAGGCTTCATGGGCTCTGTACTTCAGTCTCGGTGGGACCTCCCGATCAATCACCTCCTTTGCCGGGTCGTCGGGAGGGAGCCTCTTCAGTCTCTGGGCTTCGTTCGAGGAGAGTTTCTTGGCTCGTACCGTGAGGGGTTCCAGCTGTGCCTCGGCGAGCAGTGCGTCTCGTCTGGTCGGGCGGATGCAGCCCGTGATGATACGGGCGCATGCGTTTTGCTCCGCTTCCAGGGCCTGTCTAGAGGCCGGGGCGGCATGTGTCATGTAGACTGCCGAACCGTAGTCCGCCAGAGACCTGATATATCCTATATAGGCTGCTCGGAGTGTGCGGCGGTTGCAGCCGTAGCTGCGTCCGGCGAGGGCGGCTAGGCAGTTTCTGCGTCTGGCCATCGACTTCTTCAGTTGCTTGATGTGCTCACTGAAGGTGAGGCCGGCCGCCGTCCATCTTGAGTCCCAGAAAGGTTGGGTAGGTGACATGGTTGACGGGTCGGTTCTGGAGGCTCAGCTTGAGATGTACCTTTCCTCCGGCTTCGCGAGGGTCCAGAGAGAACGGGGTGGCCGAGCACTTCGATGCCGACAGCTGCACTTTCCACCGAGTACACCAGTCGGAGATTTCGTCCAGTGCTGGCTGGAGGGTCGCCTCGCACTGCGACAGCTTCCGTTCGGTGGCCCACAGGGCCACATCATCCGCGTACACAGAGATGTGTACTCCGGGTGGGGCCCGCGGGAGGATGTCGCTGGCGTAGATGTTCCAGAGCAGGGGGGCCAGTACGGAGCCCTGGGCCAGGCCCTGGGGGAACAGGCGGCTGTCCGAGATGGATGTCTCGGACAGCCGCCTGTTGGAGTCGCCGTTGGGCCAGACGCTCCGCGAGTTTCCCGATGCAGGAGAGCAGGGAGACGGGCCGGTAGCTACCGGGGGCGCTGGCGGGCTTCCCCTTCTTGAGGATTGGTACGATAGTGGCTCGCCTCCAGGCTGCTGGGGTTTCGCCGGAGCGCCATGACGTGTTCAGGAGGTGGAGCAGCATCCTCTCCGCCGTCGGGCCCAGTTGTCTCAGCATCTCGTTGGACACCTCGTCCTGGCCGCCGGCCGGGAGCGCTGCCTAGCTTCAGCTTGCCTATGGCGTTCTGTAGCTCTCTTCTGGAGAAAGGGGAGCACAGTCCTGTCTTCAGACCATTGCATTGGCAGGAGCCGGTGGCGCGTCTAGCCTCTTTGTTGATTTGTCGGTCAGCGTTTTTGTCCAGTTTGATCCGGGAGACCGCGGCGTATTCCTTGATGAAGAGGTTCGCCTTTTGTTTGTCGGTAACGGCTGGGCCCGAGGGCGGGGTGGGGCCCCTCTGCTCTCGTTGGATGGACTCCTTAGGCTTGGGGATCCGTCTTCCGTCTAGGTTTCGAATGATTCTCCACAGGTCAGCGTCCGGTCTGAGGTTTTTCAGCGTCTCGTCCAGGTGGGCTCTCTTCTCGGCGGTGATCACTTTGTCGGCTTCGGCTCGCGCCTGCTGGTATGCCTCCATGTCGGCCCTGGTGCGGGATGGTTGCGTGGCCGTCCGGAGGGCTGCATCTCTCGCCTTCACTGCCTCTTCGCATTTATCGCTCCAGAAGGGGCCCTTCGCGCTTCTGCCGTTTCCAAACGGTATGTGTTTCCGTGCACTCGACGTGATGGCTTTCGTGATTTGTTGGTTGAGCTGGTTGATGGGGGTGTCCATGTTGATCTCGGACATCTTCTTTTCCAGGGACTCCCTGAATCCCGTCCAATCTGCTTTACGGAAGAACTTCCCCCTGCCTCGGCGGGTCGGCGGCAGATCGGCGGTCAGGGTGGTCCTGATCGGAAGGTGGTCGGACCCGAGGTTCGGCTGCGTGCTCCACTCCGCCGTCGCTCCGACATCAGCAGTGGCCAGAGTGATGTCAGGAGTGGAGAGTCCGCCCGTGGCTGGGTTGACGCGTGGTTGTGTGAGAGCCGTCGTTGAGAATCAGCAAGCCAGAGTCCGTGGTCCACTCCTCGATCTGGAGGCCAAGATGTGAGGTACGCTGGTGGTGGTCCCACGAGTCGCTGTGGGCGTTTACGTCTCCCATGATGATGCTGCTGGTTGGGGGCGAAAGTCTGGTGAGCTCGAGTGACTGTTCTTGGGTTCCTTGTCCTTCCGTCCATCTGGCCGGTGGGCTGTATATGTTCACGATGTTTATGGTCCTGTCTGATGTGTGTATGGCTACGGCTCCGATGTAGGTCGAGCAGCCTCTCTCGGGTCGGTATGGTACCGGTAGTGGGTCGAAGGCGAGGTCGTTCCGGGTCAGGATCACCACGCCCCCCTTGGCCCGCTCCAGGCGCGTGCCGTCACGGTACGGGCCGAGCAGGGGCGGCGGGGGAGTGGTTCCCGTGTTGCGCTCGCGGCTCGGAGAGGTTACGCTCCTTCGCTCCGTCCCCGAGGGCTCCCCATCACGGTCGGGGGTCCACCGCCTGCTCCTGTTGGGCAGCAGAGATGGTGGCTCTGAACTGCTCGAGTCGGCGGAATAGTGGCCACAGCATCGTAGCCACGATGTGCTGCTCCCTTACTGCAAACTTCTCTTCAAAGAGTCGGGACAGCCTCTTTTTCACCGTTCGTGTGATGCTGTCGTCTCCTGCCTCCAGCTCCAGCTCTCGCCGGAGGCGCTCCTTCGTTTGGGCCACGACGTGGAGAGTCGGGTAGTTCTGACCGCTCAGCTTCTCCGTGGCGATCTCCAGTGGCGTGAGCACGGCGACCAGCCGCCTCATGATCGTCGGGTTGAGCGAGTCTATGAGCTCCACAACCTCCGGGCTGCCGAACGCAGGATGGACACTAGGGTGTCCCACCATACCAATATCCATATTTCGTTCGATCCACGTTTATTGCCGCATTCGTTAAGGTAAGAAACGACCACAATGAAAGAACTGGACGGTTTGCTCAAGATCTAGGGGTCCCACAAGTTGACATATTTCAGTAATGGGTACCCGGTACAGGTACACATTGGTGGTCACTCGGCAATAACAATATTCAAGCACAGAGTCCTTCAAACAAAGCGTTAACTAAGTCCCGACCTGTATGTAGGTCACTGTGTCACATTTGTCGCTCAGATCATCATTTCCTTTTTCGTTTTCTTTTGGATCAGCTTTCTATTCCCATGCACTGCCTTCAGCAGGAACTGCCGCTGCTCTTCTGTCGTTGTTGAACTCCTTGATCAATGCGATCGCTCGTTCTGCGTGATCATTGACGACCGCTAGATTTGACACGCGCTGCTTACCCACCTTATACGCGTCGTTTTCTTCCCACGACTGTACTGGTGTGCTCAGGAGGCTACTGTCCAGGTCCAGGGCCTCCAGCATCACTGTTGTCCGGGAGGTGACGAAATCCCACAGCCGTTTTCCCTGGAATGGCCCCGTGTTTTTCTTTTCGAGTCGCTTCAGTGCCTTTTTCTTCGCAGGCTTTCCGAGGTTGCTGACCATA